TGTTTATTCTTTTTTGTTGCTGTTCTGGGAATCACACTCAGGACCTTGTGCTTGCTAGGCAGGCAAGGTGTGTTTATTCTTATGTTATATTCTTGCATTTGAAAATTGATCAGTACATCTTAACGATAAAATCATTTGTTATTCAGTAAAAAAGACAATTAAAAAGCACTTTTTTGAAAAAGTATTTCATTCTTTCTGCACAGGCCTTGGACAAACATGGCTACTGCTAAGGGACTGGCGATCGGCATCGACCTGGGCACCACCTACTCGTGCGTGGGGGTGTTCCAGCACGGCAAGGTGGAGATCATCGCCAACGACCAGGGCAACCGCACCACGCCCAGCTACGTGGCGTTCACCGACACGGAGCGGCTGATCGGGGACGCGGCGAAGAACCAGGTGGCCATGAATCCCCAGAACACCGTCTTTGATGCCAAACGGCTGATCGGCCGGAAGTTTAATGATCCTGTGGTGCAGTCAGATATGAAACTTTGGCCTTTTCAAGTGATCAACGAAGGAGGCAAGCCCAAGGTGGTGGTGTCCTATAAAGGGGAGAATAAAGCTTTCTACCCGGAGGAGATCTCGTCCATGGTATTGACTAAGATGAAGGAGACTGCGGAGGCCTTTTTGGGCCACCCTATCACCAATGCCGTGATCACCGTGCCAGCCTATTTCAATGACTCTCAGCGCCAGGCCACCAAGGACGCAGGTGTAATCGCAGGACTCAACGTGCTCAGAATCATCAACGAGCCCACAGCTGCCGCCATCGCCTACGGTTTGGATAAAGCAGGTCAAGGGGAGAGACACGTCCTCATCTTTGACCTGGGTGGAGGCACTTTTGACGTGTCCATCTTGACCATCGACGACGGGATTTTTGAGGTGAAGGCCACAGCGGGCGACACGCACCTGGGCGGCGAGGACTTCGACAACCGGCTCGTCGGCCACTTCGTGGAGGAGTTCAAGAGGAAGCACAAGAAGGACATCAGCCAGAACAAGCGCGCCGTGCGGCGGCTGCGCACGGCCTGCGAGCGTGCCAAGAGGACGCTGTCGTCCAGCACCCAAGCCAACCTGGAGATCGACTCGCTTTATGAAGGCATTGACTTCTACACGTCCATCACCAGAGCCCGGTTTGAGGAGCTGTGTGCAGATCTGTTTAGGGGCACCCTGGAGCCCGTCGAGAAGGCTCTTCGGGACGCCAAGATGGACAAGGCTAAGATCCATGACATCGTTTTAGTAGGGGGCTCCACGCGCATCCCTAAGGTACAGAAACTGCTTCAGGACTACTTCAATGGCCGGGAGCTCAATAAGAGCATCAACCCCGATGAGGCGGTAGCCTACGGGGCCGCAGTACAGGCAGCTATTCTGATGGGGGACAAGTCCGAAAAGGTACAGGATCTGCTCTTGTTGGACGTGGCTCCCCTGTCCCTGGGATTGGAGACAGCTGGAGGTGTGATGACCGTCCTAATCAAGCGCAACTCCACCATCCCCACCAAGCAGACACAAATCTTCACCACGTATTCCGACAACCAGCCCGGGGTGCTGATCCAGGTGTACGAGGGCGAGCGGGCCATGACGAAGGACAACAACCTGCTGGGCCGTTTTGACCTGACCGGAATCCCCCCTGCTCCCAGGGGTGTTCCCCAGATCGAGGTGACCTTCGACATCGACGCCAACGGCATCCTCAACGTCACGGCCACCGACAAGAGCACGGGCAAGGCCAACAAGATCACCATCACCAACGACAAGGGCCGCCTGAGCAAGGAGGAGATCGAGCGCATGGTTCTGGAAGCTGAAAAATACAAAGCTGAAGATGAGGCCCAGAGGGAGAAAATTGCTGCAAAAAATGCCTTAGAATCCTATGCATATAACATGAAGAGTGCTGTGAGTGATGACGGTCTGAAAGGCAAGATTAATGAGCCTGATAAAAACAAAATACTAAGTGCGTGCAATGAGGCCCTCTCCTGGCTGGAGGCCAATCAGCTGGCCGAGAGAGACGAGTTTGATCATAAGAGGAAAGAACTGGAGCAGGTGTGTAATCCAGTCATCACAAAGCTCTACCAGGGAGCGTGTACTGGGCCTGCGTGTGGAGTGGGGTACACACCCGGGAGGCCTGCAGCGGGCCCTACCATTGAAGAAGTAGATTAATGTTTCCCGGAACTAGAGGACTCTAGGGTGCTTCTAGGTGAAATTTATTCCTTTCCTCTTCTGATTCTTGAACTGACTGGACCTGGACCAAAGTTACCATCCCTCTGGGATTCTGATGGAGAAGTCTCATAAATCATCCTTTCATACACCAACATCTTGTCTGCGGCTCTGAAACGGACTTTTTAAGGACAACAAGGCCCTTCTTTGAACAGCTGGTGATTTTGAACGTCTCATTTGTTTCCAGCCATACCAACTTGCTCCTTCCTGCGTGCATGGTTATTTGTCACTCAGTAAATTTGTTCCTAAAGGCAATTACTTCTGGTATCTTTAGGCTATAAGTGCAGTTTAAAAAGTAAAGGCCAGATAATGGAGAACACGTGTTCTCTGTGAGCTCATTGTGAAGGATTAAAATGGGAAGGGGAAAGTATTTGTATTTTTATGAGCTCATTGTTTCAAACAGAAAAGTAATTCTCTGTCCTCAGACACCTGTCTCACTGTTGCAGCTGTTGCTGTGGTTACTGCTTATAACCAAACATATTCTGGATTAAATGTTTAGGATTCAGCTGGACAGTAGTGAGGAGCAGACACTGTTGAACGTCCTGATGTCATTGTGGATGAGGTCCAGATCACTACCTGTACTTTTACAGAATCTTTTTTTTTTTTTTTTTTTTGGTCTTTTTGAGATAGGGTCTCTCTGTGCAGTTCAGGCTGGCCTTGAGCTCACTTTGTAGCCCAGGCTGGTCTCAAACTCACAACCATCCTCCTGCCTCAGCCTCCCAAGTGCTGGGATTACAGGCATGTGCCACCATGCCCAGCCAGAATCCATTATTTCATCCTTTACACACAAAGTATTTCTACAACAAACCCCTGACAATATACTTTCATGCAAGATGAGAAATGAAGGATTTTCCAGTCTTATTCCATAAAAATTTTTTTACTTCTAGCCGGGCGTGGTGGTGCACACCTGTAATCCCAGCACTCGGGAGGCTGAGGCAGGAGGATCACTGCAAGTTTGAGACCAGCCTAGGCTACAAAGTGAGCTCAAGGCCAGCCTGAACTGCAGAGCGAGACCCTGTCTCAAAAAGACAAAAAAAAAAAAGACAAAAAAAATTTTTTTACTTCTTCACAAATTCATAAAAACCTGAAGGACATGAATATGGAGCGCCAGGTGTGGTGGTGTACGCCTGTAATCCCAGCACTCAGGAGGCTGAGGCAGGAGGATTGTTGCGAGTTCCAGACCAGCCTGGGCTACAAAGTGAGCTCAAGGCCTGCCTGAACTGCATACCGAGACCCTGTCTCAAAAAGACCAAGAAAACAAACAAACAAAACACCAAAAAAAGAGCATGGACATATAAGTAACTGCATTTGTGTCCCTTTGTATTTAAGGAGATATTATTTGGAAGGGAAATATTAGAATGCATCATTTCTAGTTGGGTTTAGTGGCATATACCTGTAATCTCAGCACTCTGGGAGGCTGAGGCAGAAAGATCAAAAGTTCAGGCCCAGTTTAGGCAATTTATGCCTTTTTTTTTTTTGGTTTTTTGTTTTTGTTTTTTTTTCCAGTACCAGGAATCGAACTCACAACCTTGCGCTTGCCAGGCAGGTGCTGTGCCGCTGAGCTAAATCCCCAGCCCCAGCTGAATGCCCAGCCCCTACGCAATTTACAAATTCTGGTTCAAAAAATAAAAAGGTCTGGGCATTGTGATGCATCCCTGTAATCCCAGCACTAAGGATGCTGGGAAAGGAGGATCACTGCAAGTTCAAGGCCAGCCTGAGCTTCATAGCGAAACCCCACCTCAAAAAGACAAAAATAAATAAAAAATAAAAATAAAATAAAATAGGAGCTGAGGATGTAGCTCAGTGGTAAGAGTCTGTGTTCAATCCCCAGTACTTGATGGAGGGAGGGGCATGGGTCCTTTCTACAGGTTAGCCAGTGTTTATTTATTTGTTTATTTATTTATTTATTTTTGTCTATTTGAGACAGGGTTTCGCTATGCAGCTCAGGCTGGCCTTAAACTCGCAAGAATCCTCCTGACTCAGCCTCCCAAGTGCTGGGGTTACAGGCATGAGCCACCATGCCCAGCAAAGAAATGAAGTTTGTTTGTTTTTGTTTTGTTTTGTTTTTTTTT